ACCAAATTTGGTTTTGAGCAGCTTTCTTCATCTGCTCCCATGTCATTCCAGTATCCTCTGCTTCAATGATGACTGACCTCTTCCAGGTTTGCTTGGGTCTGCCCACTTTCCCCTTTCCTTGCAGATTCCAGTAAAGTGCCTGCCTTGCAACATTGGGACTTAGTTTTTGTGGCCTTTCCAGCTCCGCTTTAACTTTTTAATATCTTGGGCTATGCATTTTTGCTGACTGTAGATATTTTGAAAGGGGGGGGGGGGTTGGGGGGGCCAAAAGTCAGATTTGTTTGTTTGTCTATAGTCTAGATTTTTTTCTTGTCCATAGGGTCAGAAAGAGAAAAACATTGAGGATGTCCACGACTTCAGTTTTATTCTGCCCACCATTGAGTACCATAACTGCATCTGGACCTGGTTTGACTTTTTGATCACACTGAAGAACCACAGCAAGAGAGTTCTGCTTTCCCAGGTAACTAGATCATGAGAAGTTAGCAGGATCAAATATTTCAACTAAATGTTTCAAAGTATAAATTATTTAAACTAAAGTTTTCAAAGTATAAACTAGGATTTATTTTGTTAACTGGTAGATTTGGGGTTGGGGGAACCTTTTTTTCTTCAATTCCTACCATTGAATCACACTAAAATCGAGATCAAAGTAAAACATGAGAATAACAACTTTTAATTATCCTATCGAGCCTAAAGTTGGCCTTACACTCTTGCTGCATGACAACATATTTATAAAAATTCCAGTTAGCTCAGTCGGTTAAAGCATCATATGCTATATTTTGTTTTAACATTGGTAGGAATTGATTTTGAAAATAAAAGGTCATATTATTTATTGTGTAGTAGATTTATAGAATGGTATTTATTATATGTTTCATACTGTTCCTCAAAATGCAGCAGAACAAGTTAATAAGACTTGGTGTCAACTACTTAGTTAAAAAGGGAGAATATAGATAGTGTTTTTTGTAGTCTCCCTTGTTCTATCTGTAGGCTATCAAACAAAAACTGCATTGGAAAGCCCGAGTCCTGGACGAGCCTCCCCACACTGATGTCCAGGAAGAGGAAGATAAAGCCAAGATGTTGCTGGGAGCTAAACTTTTGGTAGGTCTCCTTTGAAGAAAGGAGTTTCAATTTATCGTGTGTTGACCAATCAGCTGTTAGTTGACATACAGATATTGGACATTTTAATGCCAGGATTAGCTGTTTCTAAAACAACAACATTGCAACAACAAAATCTGTACACTTTTTGTAAAATAGGCATGTATGACAAGGCTTAAAAAGTAACTTCTGCTGTTCAGGGGGGGGGGGGGGGGGCAGGGTGTCTGAGGTCTAAAACATTGGACTTCCAATGTGAGGGGGTCATGAGTTCAATTTTTGTTGAAGACTTGGACTTTCAAGACATCCCTGAGTCCAGCCAACTCTTATCCTATGGATGTAAGATAATTTAAGATAATTCGTGTTCATTTATTTTCCCTTTATAAATTTGCCTGTTGTTGTTTTTTTTTAAAACTCTATTCTGTCACTTAAGGCAGATAAGGCATTTCCATAAACAATGAAATAGTTGAGAAAGCAGTCTTAAAAATCTTTAGATGTAATATTTAATGGTTATTTTATTGACTTTCTTGACCATTCTAGGCTGGCCAAGAGAAGCCCTCCAAGAAAGGTTTTTTTGGCAAGTCCAGCAAATCCTGATGACAACTTCTTAAACTCCATGTTTACCAGTTGTCAACTGAGTGATACAGTTTGTTATGTCCCAGTCAGCTGAGGGATTCAATTTGTTACATCCTAGTCAGCTGAGTGATTCAATTTGTTACATCCCAGTCAGCTGAGTGATTCAATTTGTTACATCCCAGTCAGCTGAAGGATTCAATTTGTTACATCCCTGTCAGCTGAGTGATTCAATTTGTTACATCCTAGTCAGCTGAGTGATTCAATTTGTTACATCCCAGTTATTAACATTATAAAATGTTTGGATCTCTGACAAAGTCTTTAAGTCCAGGTGTCGCATGGCTACAGTGAATTTGTGTAGATTTGTGCTCATAAATCTTTGCTGACTATTTTGTTCCCATATAAACACAACTCCTTAGTGAATAAAGCACTGAAGATTATCCAGGACTAGAAATACAAACACTGGACTAAATTCAAGTTACATCGTTGAATCACAAGCATTTTAGTTTCAATGTGGTACACTTATTAAGTCAATCAGTAATCTGCTGTGAGGGCAACATTGTTCCGACTATAAACAATGCCCAAGGCTTTCATATCACTGAAAAAGGCCAACCAATCTGAGCTAAACTGAACTCGGCTCTCTCCTCGCACCTCTTGATCTAGTTTTTTTCATAGCCCTGTCTTTCCCCAATTATTCTAGGCTGGCGTTGTGACATCACCCTTTTTCATTACTGTTATGTATTTTGTCTGCTAATGTTAATTAGGGTTTCTTTAACTGATTTCATAAATGAAAACTTTCAGCACTGCCTCCACCCCATCACCTTCTTTTTATTAGATCCAATAATTTACTTTGTGTTTCAATGCAGTTGACTCTGTTTGTCTGGATCACATTTTAGTCTTAGTAATGAAATGGTCTAGTAGCACATGAAGACTGTAATAAACGTTATTATATATAATATACAATATGTCAATGTCTATATGACTTAAGTTCTGTGGCACACACAAACAAGAACTTTTTGTTATTTAAAACCTGGCAAGCCAAACAATACATTGTATAAAATACCTGGCAAGCCAAACAATACATTGTATAAAAAAGACCCCTTTAAATTTCTCCATTGTGATTAGACATTTTAGGACTACTAACCATCCTGTTTGATATATAGCCTTTCATTTCAGAGCATTACTGGGCATCTTGCGTTTCTTTTGTGCTAACATTTAAATTTATTTGTTTGGTCTTCCAGTCTCACACACCTGGCTAACAGGACATGTGGTATGCCCTTTGATTATGATAGTCCTGAAACCATGCCTTTCATTCTGTCATCCTGCAGGACTTCTGGGCTTGGAGATAAAATCTTTTTCTGAAAGAATGTCATAATTTTTTAAATATAATTTTTAAAAATAAAACAAAATCCTTCCTTTGGCTTGATTACATGTCATTGAGTTCCAAAGGATTAACAAGGAAATTGTTTAGTCTTGTACTACTCAGTCCAAATGATGGATTGTCTAATTAACTTGTTATCCACTTCAACAAAGTCAACTGTGTTTCATAATAAGTTTACAAGAAACATACGAGTCTTAAACAGTTTGTTGATCAATGTATTTTCTGTTAAGATTCTTGTTTGTGCAATAATCTAATCTACACTCTGTATTATTATTAAGATCATCTAGTTTAATTTGTGTATAACTTATCTGAGTATATTCTTGCCTTTCATTTTTTTGTTTATTTACATCATTGTCGTAGTTTATTTTCAACTTTTGTTTTAACTCATAATGGAAATCACAACAGACTGCTAAAACAGACTGCATCTTTCCATAAGACTAGAGAAAAATATGAGTCCAGAGTAAAATCAAAACATATGCTTTCAAAAACAAACTGTTACAGGGTTAGTTCATCTGTGTTAGATTTATCTTACACTAGCTGAATATGACAGGAGGGGCCTGCGGGCTTTAGTTTTGGTATTACTGAATTGAATTTAGATCTATGGAGCATGTTCCCTTCACATTTTTTTTGTTTTGCTACAAAAATAAAAGTAGAGTGGGAAAATGGGTTTACCCTTCACCAGACATATTTATATCAAATATAAAATACTGTGAAAACAGGGTTACCCGATTTGTTAAAAAGTTTAGTTTTTTAATAGAGATACAATTAGGTAGTTTTTGTCTATTTTTATGGCCCTCTGTAGTGGTTGGGACATTAAACATACACTAGGGTCTCCGCCATGATCTAAGAAACATTTATGTCAAGTTTTATCTAGATTGGTTAAATGGTTTTGAATTCTATGAGGGACATACATACATACATTATGCATTGTATATAAGATATGTGACTAATTCTGAGGCCTGACATTGTTGTGGTAGTTCTTACTTTATGGAATTTTTTGGGTACGCTATATTATGACGCTAGTGCAATGAGAATTCAAGTAATCATTTTTCCTTATAAAAAACAATATTGAAAACTGTGTCTGCAGTGAATCTAATCTAGTCTCTTTCTGGTGCTTAAAGCTTTACTCTATTTATATTTCATAATTTTGTGAATGTAAAACTTTGTTCTATACACGTCAGGAAAAAAATGTTCTTTGGCCACAGGCTAGTAAAAGGTTTTTGTTAGAGGCATTCCTGTAGTTTTACTGATCTAGCTCTCCCCCACCACATTCAGGGGACTATCTGGACAACAAAATATCATTGTTGCAATGGAATAGTTGTTTAAGCCAACTGGGGGCCATGGTGGCTGAGTCGTATAAAGTGCCTGGCTTCTGAACCAAGGGGTTTTGAGTTTGAATCCCGGTTAGGACAGAATTTGAACTTCAGAATTTTTAGGACGCTTCTGAGTCCAGCCAACTTTAATGGTTTGGTCACTGTGCAGGCCACCTTGTTAGTTGTTAACCATTGGCCATATATACATCATCTGGGCCCCTAGATCACAAGGTCTGAAAGTTGTGCCTGTTAAACCTACTAAAACCATTTCCAGACTAAATAGTTTGGGTAGATCTTCAATACACAAACTTGACCTCAACAAAACATTGATTTTCAAGTGCCCACGTATTGCCATCTACACCATCTATAGACTAGATAAACATGTGGAGGCCATCTTATGACTCTTAAAACACCAACAGCTATGGATACTGATGTTCTGCAAGGGGAACATATTGACATTTGCCTAAGATTGTCTGAACTTGTTCTCAAGAGTTTAATCAAACAGTTCTCTTATTTCTTATCCTGTGAATGAAGTGTTTAGAATTTGGTAGAAAAACAATTCTTTATATTTGTTCATTGAAAAATGTTTAGGACGACATTAATATTTCTATATCATTATAGCAGTGTCTTGCTTTTAAAGATAAAACTATCAACATGACCATTTAATGTTGATAGTTTTATGAGAAATATACCTTCATGTTGACTGCATTAAATGTGACAAAATGTGTAGGGTGCATCTGGGTTTGCGTAGTCCATGTGAAAAACTGAAATCTTCCTTAATCTTCAAAATCGAAGACATTGCCATTAAAGGTGACAAAATATGTAGGTGGCAACTCAGTTTGCAAAGTCATCTGAAACACTGCACTCATCCTTGATAATCTCCAGAATTGAAGACATTGTCATTACATGGTGGCAACTGGGTTTGGGTAGTCATGTTAATTATATATACACATGTATTTAGCTCTTAGGTCAGAAGTGATATGGCTATAATCTGTCGGCTGTTGTGCAAAGTGGTTGTAGGCTAACTTCATATTGCATCAGTTGATTGAGGAATTGTAAACATTTCACGCTACTGTTTTGATGTGCTGAGTTCTGGCTTAAGTCTGCAAATTTATTTTTGTTTTTATGGTTGGTCTTTAAAACCTACAGTGTTTGACAATGGCTGTGATACTAGAGTTTGTTTTTACATGTTTCGACTCTATATCCTGTGAACACTTTTAAAATGTGTGACTTTATTTGACAGTGTGACAAGTCAGCCTTGAATGCTTTTCAGTTTATTGTCAATGTATAGGTCAGGGACTTTTGTAATTTATATAGAGACTGATTAGTTCTGTAAAATAAAAGAGTTATACTTTGAAACAGTGACTAAAGAAAAATAGTTTTGCTTCAATTGAATTTTGTTTGTATGTTGAACAAGAAAAGGTTTAGACTTTGTGTATCAATCATTCATATTTTGTTCTCAGTTTTTATTTTTTATTTGATTGTTTCATTACCTTTTGATTTTTTAAAAATTTGTTTCATGCCAAAGATGAATTTGTAGCATCAAAAGATCAAAAGTATTGCTTCTTTTTTGGTATGGTCATTTCACAAAGGCTCACAGTTATTTTACCATGTCTATTGAATTAAGAAAAAAAATCAAGATTTATTAGCTGCATTTCTATATTAAAATATTAAGGGAATAAACAAGAGTATTTTTATAATTTGTTGATGATTTATGGAATTGTATCCAGTGTACAATGCAAAAAAATAGTCAATTCTTACAGATAATATGGAAATGATTGATGTAACATCTTTGTATAACGGGTAATTTTATCTGTTTGGAGAATGGCTTGTTCCCAAAACCAATGGAAGAAAGGCAATAGATGAGCCTGTTGAGGGCAAGGCAATAGATGAGCCTATTGAGGGCAAGGCAATACATGAGACAAAAGGAGGTGAGAAAACTGAGAAAAGTTCTTGGCAACTGCTTGCTTCTAAAAGGGACAGTGGTAGATGACAGCTAATACTTTTTTAAAATCTTACCAAAGAAAAGCACAGAGCAGGAAATGGGAACACCTCATGAACATATGTTCGGCTTAATTATTTGTATATGTAGGTCTTAATTATTTGTAATTGAAAACCATCCTAAAATTGACTTGTGCCATTTTGAAACAATGGATAAAATTTGCCTTTGTGAAATGACTGAAATGCAGTGTTGAAGTTCAGTCAAATCAAAACATATTCACATTGACTTGGTGATCAATATTCAACAGACATTGATATTCATAGTATATGCAGTGCTGTATTTTGACTTGAAAAGGTCCTAAACTATTTTAGATATGGGGCCATTTATAAGTTCAGATTATATATGTCAGTGCTAAATATTTCTTAGGGGTCCTAAGCTAGAGCTGGTGTGTCTTTAGGCCCTGAACATATGTAGAGCTAACCATACAAACAAAAAAATATTTACATTATCTTTTCTTACTTTATTTTAATTTTATGAAATGCTCAACTGAATTTCTGTTTTTTTTTGTTGTTTTTTTTGTATTTAACCATAGTCTAAGTTTAAGCTAAATTTAGTTGCTTTTATGGATCCATTGAAGATGTTGCATTTTTATCCTGGATCTAGTGATTCTAGTTCCCAGTGGCAGGTTTTAAGTGGGAGTGATTGTAAATGTTTTGTTTTTTTTAAATAATTCTATTCATTAAATATTGATTCTCAAGACACAATGTACTGGGTATACATTTTTAAATGACTCTGGGTTTATTTTAGACTGTGCTCAGCTGCTATTTATGCTTTAAGTTGTTTTTTGAGACAAATATCCAACTGAAAGTGTGACTTTGTGTTTAGTTTATTGCTTGCCTGTTTGTTACTAAGTACTTTATGTGATACTGTGAGATATTTTGCTGAAATTTTGACTTTCCAAACAAACAATGTGTTTTGTATTACCATGTCTAATAAAATGATTTTTGAACAAATACTTTACATTTTAGTTCTCTATTATTTCAGGTTTTTAAATCAAGCTTTTGTCTATAGTATGCAAATGAACAAAAGCTGTTTAGGAATCAATATTTCTTCTAGTTTTTTAATACAATGACGTGTTCACTATTTCCACAGGCGGATACTTTTCATTGATATAGAAAAAAATGTTCAGCATTGAATGTCACATGACAACATCAATTTATTCCAAATCACTGATTTGAGATTTTAATCTGAGAGCTAGTCCATTCGTTATACTGAATGTCAGCTGAACACATCAGTTTATCCAAATATCAGATTTCTAATTTATTCTGGGAGCCAGTCTATTCATTACATTGCTTTAGAGGGAGCTAAGTCAAACACACACACACAAAAACTGGAGCCAGGGCCGGTCCTAGCCATTGCGGAGCCCTATGCGAAACGGATTGCGCGGGGCCCAGTCTGGGTAGGGATAAGCTTAAGGTCAAAATTAAGATTTTGTATTAGAAAATACATTCGTCTTTGCAATGCCGTTTTTTTTTTTATCACGCGTAAAATTGGCACCCAAAAATGAAGCTTTTGTCTTTTTTTCAGGAGATTTCCAGGAGCCCCTGGAAAATCAGGAAAGCACGGAAAACCTGCTATTATAAATAAGTTTTTATGTTTTAATTGAATAAGTTACACCTAGACTTAGCGCGGGGCCCAATGCGACCGTATAGGTTGCAATGGCCTAAGTCCGGCCCTGACTGGAGCTTTCAAACAAAATGTCTTCATTCTAATGCTGCCTAGCCACTGGAAATACTGCATTCCTCATTAATCTTCGGACTCTAAGACAAGCGTTATTATTATTATATTGAGAAATTAATATTCTACTGTGGATAGAGTACATAAACATTGATTCCTGATTTGGAAGAAACATTTTTTACAATTACAGATTACATTACAGACAGCTAGTGGGCATAGAATGTAGAGGACAGCAATGATCGGGATCAAAACACAAAATTTATTTAGGTTAAAAAGAGTGATAGTTTAAGAGCTGGCTTTCTTTAAATCTTACCTTATCTTATAGGCCCTAAATTACAGACGGTCTATCGAAAATATATGTAGATAATTTTTTCCTGACTGAATCCTTTTTTTAAGTAACGTCTGTATTATATAAGACAAGATAAGACCATTGTATTTTCTCGTGGCAATTATGAACAAAAGAATAGGCCTAAGGCGCCTAAGCTAACTTTCAAGAAAGTAACAGAGGTAGCCTACGAGATTTGTCTTTCCCTTTGTGTTAATGTAAATTGCTACTTTAGTTTTTAGTGTTAATGTAAATTGCTACTTTAGTTTTTAGTGTTACTGTAAACTACTTTAGATTTTAGTCTTCAAGTGTCAAGTTTAGAAAAGTTTAATATAGGTATTTAGAACTACGGGGGGCTGCCGAAGTTTAAGATTTAGATCTACATTTTGAAATGCTTAAATGATTTATATGGTAGGCTACTAACAGACTACACAGTAAAATGTTTGACAGGTTTCTGATGTTCTTTTAGAGTTGAAGATACTCTACTTCCTGGACCCGTATGACGACGGGGGATGGCAGGGTATGAACCCGGGACCATCGAGACGACCAAACGACAGCCCAACGCGCTTCCCGCACGACCAGCAGACTTACGTATCAATCTGCTAGATCTGCAGTGAATACGAGCGTGACCTCCGTGACTATGTCGAAGGTGCCGATACGAGGGTCTTCTGTCTGAATTGGCTATGTCACGTGGTCTTCTCAGACTACTTGCCCCTCCCCCCTCTAACAGCAGCAGGGTACGCCCTCCTTCAGGGAGCATCATGTCAGACGTTAAAAGTCCTTTAACATTAGCTGTCACGTGGCACTGCGCTGGTGACAACATGGCGACACATCGAGGCGGGAAGAGGGAACGGGAAATATGGGGTAACTGGCTCACTTAGAGAAACTTACCAAAAGATACAGAGCTAAATTTTGATGAACGAACTTTAAGGAAGTATAAACTAGTGTGACCTGACTTTATTAGAGGCAATAGTGTGACATAGACCTGACTTTATTAGAGGCAACAGTGTGACATAAACCTGACTTTATTAGAGGCAATATTGTGACATAGACCTGACTTTATTAGAGGCAATAGTGTGACATAGACCTGACTTTATTAGAGGCAACAGTGTGACATAGACCTGACTTTATTAGAGGCAATATTGTGACATAGACCTGACTTTATTAGAGGCAATATTGTGACATAGACCTGACTTTATTAGAGGCAATAGTGTGACAGACCTGACTTTATTAGAGGCAATAGTGTGACATAGACCTGACTTTATTAGAGGCAATAATGTGACATATACCTGAATTTATTAGTATAATTATTGTATAAACATGATTAATTAAAAGAATTCATTTATCAATACTTCCGTATGATATATACCCGATATTCCGAAGAGATTGCTGTTTATGGATTTGCATCCAGACTAAGAAATTGTCATAAAGTTATTGAATTAATTAAATTATTAATGTAACTAACGCATGCAAGAGATTAATTGACAATAATGGTATGTAGAAAAAATTACTATCCAATAATTTCGCACGAAATCGACTAAATCTTCGCCACTGAAATGCCAGTGACCAAAGTGTCCATCTTCGATGACCACTCCTTGTCCAGCCTTAATGAGTCGATGTCGTAAAGATCCTGGCCTCGTTACTGACTTCCGACGGCGGTCTGTAAATATTAGGAAAGGACCTTTCGTTCGAACTGATCCACTGAGCTAGATGTAATAGGCACACATAGATCAGTATTTCACTGTAACATCGCACACTGGCTCCCCCAAACCTCACCCCACCTACTGTGAATACAGCATTATAAGCCAATTCTATTCGTAATAATTGAAATTCATTATGCTAGGTTGTAAGAATGAATGTCGCAAATCTTGGTTTGTCGTATCGACCGTATTGCTAAAAATTAGTTCTAGTAACTAAGTAACAATTCTTTGTCAACTTAGGTATGCAGATGAAACAAGATCACAGCTTAAGGACATTCAACTTCTGCCACAGCATTGACCGGATCTCAAGTGTCTATCTGTCCGCAACCAGTGTTAAAACAGTTCGCTGTTGCGCAATACATTATTCGAAACGGTGGCGTAATCCTCCCGTATCGCCTAGCAAAAGGTATATCGTAATAGTTATTTTCTAATGAAAATTTTAGTGTGATTTATAGATATTGTAAGGAGTCGCCCCCCCAAAAAAAAGCCAAAAAAATGTCATACAAAAGAAGAATTGTGTTTAGCTTCACCTTCAGCTATCCCTTAGTTTGTTGGGGCACCACACAAGATTTGTTAACATTCTTTTTTCCATTCTTCTGTATTTTTTTAAAAAGCTTTTAAATAGCGCTAGTTTTATGCTTATAGCATGCTCAGAGCACTATTGTCCAATCTCATTTGTGGACCAGTGGGTGAGGGGGTATCTGGGAGAAGGTTTTCCGTGCTGCCTTTAGGCGCTAAGTAAACATTACTCTGCTCGAGTCGGGTGTCGAACCTCGAGCCCCCTAATCCAAACGTCCCGCAGGACGACGGGGGATGGCAGCGGGCAGGGTATGAATCCAGAAACATCGAGAAGTCTGAACGACAGTCCAGCCCCGCATATTGCACGACCAGGCAGTTGATGTAGTTTGCAGTATATGTGTGAAGGCGAACAAACGTAATATCTCTTTCTGAAGAATGGGACATTATTAAGAGCTATGACTATGGTGAAATTCCGACTGCATTTTCTTCTATTTAAGGCATCGGGCCACCTTTCGTTTATGACATTACGACATTATGAACAATAGTATTAAAAAAATAGAGCTTTTATGATATCCATCAAAGACCAAACCAAGAGAAAAACACTAAAATCGAGCATAAATTTGAGGAAATCTTTTGTATTTGCAATAGTCCACGTAGATATATAATTTTATTGTCTAATACGGCTAAATTCTTTGAAGAACAGCTACATATAATATATATATATATATATATATATATATATATATATATATATATATATATATATATATATATATATATATATAATATATATATAGGCCTATAACCTTTCGTAATTCGTCGTTATTCCTCACTAAGCAGGTCCCGTAACTGAGGGACTATCAAAAGTCAGCTGTAGTTTTATATACTTTCAAACCACAACGTAGAACACTACGACAGGCAAATAGAAATAAAACGGGTTAATGAAATAGATCCAAGATTTCTTTTAAACAAATACCCAGTTCCCCTTCCAAGTGTGTAATAAAATAATTATCCATTACTTTGTTCTATAATATGTACACAGTCACTAAACGCTAACATACATTTGTCTGGTCATGCTATCTTATACTTATAGTAAACACTGACCACTTACGGATCACTAGGAAACTTGATGAAGGCTTAACTGCTGACCATATTTACAGAACAAGACTTGATTCTATTGGCTGACTCGATTATAAGAAGACTACACAATGCACAAACCAGCAGACGATGCAGGCTAATGCAAAATAAGAAATATATACATAAAAAAAAACGGACAAAATAAAATTAACGAATAAAAAAAAGGCTTAGCTTAGATTTGCTTGATTTGATTTTCAAAATTGTATGTGATAGTATTACAGACTTTATGAAATAGTCTATACTTAGAGCATTGACATTTGATATATTTAATAAGATGATCTAAAGTAGGGGACGTAACTTGCTTTGCGCCGAACCTAATGCATTACATCCTTTTGTATTAACCCGGTCTACAGAAGCTAGTGAACGCCTTAGCAGCTGCTTATCAAGAGTTTAGCCTTACTATAAGTCTCTCCAAGACCGAAACCTGGCACAAGACGTCGCAGAAATACCTATAATACAAATCGGGAACCACACCCTTTTAAGTGGTGCAGGAATTTACCTACTTGGGTTCAACAATTGTCAGTAACCTAGACTTAGACATCGAGCTTACAAAAAGGATAGGAAAAGCTACCACAGCAATGGCAAAACTCTCCCAGCG